ACCATCACATCGAAATGTTTAAGAAGCCGATCCCAAGCAACCACAGGCCAAACCTTGTGTGTCGCATCTCACATCGGAGGCTACTTTTTGATCCCGAAGCTATGGCCACACACATGACAGCTCCTAAGCTGTGAATGAGATGAGGAAGCTCTGATACACACGGTGTGCTTGTCCGGGAACAATGCCCGGCAATTCCATTCGCGCAAACTTGCAAACATCTCCTGACGCCGTTTGTCACAACCGATGGGAGAGCTTTCAGCAGCCGCACATTCAAACAAACATTACTTTCCTCGGCGTGTTCGGGAACCCGGGCAACGACGCCTTTCCTCGACCAAATGTCCGTCCCCGACGCCACGCTCCTATCAGCCCCCCAGCGGTCTGAGTTTCCTCGGCACGGCGCCATCTGAAGTTACCCGGTCACAGCAACCACCACCATAAACGCCACTTGATCCGTGAAAAGAAAAAGGGGTCTTGGGTTGGTTCCCGCGGCGCCGGACTGTTCTAGTGCCACTGCGCAAGTACCGAGCGCTGCGTGACGTCCGATGGACTGTGGTGGGGTAGTGCGGGGGAATTAAACTGGCTGATGTCCTCCCACCCCTTTCCCTCCACATGCCCCCCCGTTCTCCAACGGCATTTGCGACGCAGTGTAAGGGACGGATGATATAAAAAGACCCCGAAGCTTTCAAACAGTTCTGGTGTTCATTGACCCGGTCGCGATTTCCACCCCTCAAGCTCAAGCTTACCTTCATCACCACATCGCATAACACGAAGACGAGAAGTACACAACCGCCCACCATGTCCCGCAAGATCCAACTCGTGCGCATCGCCCACGTCTACTACAAACACAAAAACATCGACGCCGCGCGCGCCTTCTACGACGACTTCGGCTTCTACGAGACGGCGCGCGTCGGCAAGCGGACGTACTACCGCGGCTACGGCAGCGAGCCGCTGGTGCTCTGCGCGGAGGAGGCTGACGAGGACGAGTTCGGGGGTCCGGCTTTCGTCGTTGAGTCGCTCGACGACCTCGAGCATGCGGCCAAGACGCTGCCCGGCGCGAGCGAGATCTACGACCTGGGCGAGGTGCAGGGCGGCGGCAAGTGCGTGACGTTCAAGGACCCGGTGGACGGGTGGCCGTTCCATTTGGTGTATGGGCAGACGGCGGTGGAGAGGAGGGATCCTGGGTTTCCGAATTTGAAGTTCAACTTTGTGAGTTTCTTGAGTGAAGCCTTATGAAAGGGGGAAAGTGTTTGCTAACGCGGTTGGGGTTGGGGTAGCCGACGGAGAAGCATCGCGAGGTGAACCACAAGCAGCGCTTCACGAAACGGCCCGCACCTGTGCACAAGCTTGGCCACTTTGGTGTGTGCCTGACCAACTTTGACAAGGCGTACGAGTTCTACACGAGCAATTTCAACTTCTACCCCAGCGAGGTAAGAAAGCATTTCGTCTTCACTTCAGACCTCTAAAGGCGGGGGAAAGGGGGCTGACTGGTGCTGCGCAGCTCGTACACGCGCCTGACAACAAAGACAAGAAGGTCACCGTCTTCTTCCGCCTCGGCCGCGGCAAGGAGTACGTCGACCACCACTGCTTCTTCTTCTTCGAGGGCCCCAAGTTCCACGTGCACCACTCGTCGTTCGAGACGCACGACTTTGACGCGCAGGTGCTGGGCCACGACTGGCTGCGGCACCAGGGGTACAAGAACTGCTGGGGCGTGGGGAGGCACATTATGGGCAGCCAGATTTTTGACTACTGGTGAGTCTGTGTTGGACAGAGCAGAGGTTGAGAATGTTGGGACTGATGAGAGGGACAGGTTCGACCCGTCTGGCTTCATCATGGAGCACTACGTCGACGGCGACTTGCTCGACGACACGGAGGAGACGCATCATAACCCAGCATCGCCGGATAATCTGCACGTGTGGGGTAAGTGTTTGTTGTCGATTGTGCGGGAGATGTTACTGACATTTTTGCTAGGACCGGAGGTGCCGTCTGACTTCTTGCAATGAGTTCCTTGCATGGTGTTAGATTTTGGATTTCGGTGTTAGCCAGTTTGTAGGATGGGCAATCTGCTGAGAAGATGAAAGTAAAGGAGTGGCCGACAAGAAGAATGAATAGCCATAGTAAATAATTGCCACACGTGCACATGGCCAGTTTGAAGTTGCAACCCGCATCGGTTCACATGTTGAAGATGGCCCGGTCCTGGCCCTTGGCTGCCCTTCCAAATTCGTGCAGTGACATCGCTCACCTCGGAGCAAGGCGCATGTTCCCGTACCTCCGAGCCGAGGACGACAAACAGAGACGACATTCAATCAGTTTTCCCGAAAAAGAAGGCGTTGGACGATGAGCCGTGGACTGCTGCTTCGTATTGACGATTATTTTGGCTCTGAATGGTGTGCTTGTCCCCGGCACCCTGCGATGTTGGCGTCCTCCTCGACATGTCCCGCCCAATACTGCGCGGCAACTATCACAGCTGGACGAATCAGCTCTCCAATTGACGTCACTGAAAGTGGCACATGAGACGAGCCTCAGCATGACTGGTGTGGCTTTGCCCTTTTGCCATTTAGGAAGAGAAGCACAGGCCAGGAGTCGGGCTGGGAGGCCTTCAATTCGGGGATGCCGCGGTTTCAAGAGTTGGCGATTGCTGGTCGCGAGCTGTGCAGAGCGGAGACTCGGGCTCAGCTTGTGTCTAAGTCGGATCACGGCAGCTGCTGTTGAATCATGTGCGAAGTCGAGAAAAGAACAATCAATGACTCTATCTGTAATCAATGTCGAGATAAAGTGCGCGACTTAATGAACGGCAAAGATACCCGAAAAGACGAAGAGCTTATTGACCTGTTCAGCTGTCAGCTCATCAATCGCAATTGCAATTAATATCCAAGATCGAAAAACCTTGTTGCTTGCTGACCACGCAGCACGCTAGACTTTGCCATATTTTCCCCATATCTCTCACGAGTCAATCACGATGCAGAATACAACCGCATGTTCAGAAACGGCCAACCCCCAAGAAACTATTAAACCCGCTGGTTACCTTTGGCATGAAGAGTCCCGCCATCATCCCTGCGCGCAGCGAACGGGAAGCGGCCCTGACCCCGGTCCCTCCCGTCCACGGTCGCATCCTCCATCGGCACTGCCTCCCCCTTGCGGCATCGGTGGCCGTTGATTTAATATCGACATGCTGAAATATCGAGAAGGTCATCTCCAACGTCTCCAACAGGCCAAGACCCACGTGAGCAGAGCTCCGGCGAATGGCATGCTTCCACCGGGGTGTCAAACAGGAAGCTCGTAGTGTAGCTCTCAGCTGTGTCCAGTTATTAGTTCGGTTCGTTCGGTCGCGCTTTGGGGTTGGGCTTTTTGAGGGGGCGGACAAGGTTTCGTGGATTCAGGGGCGCCGCCGCGAACGCATCCTTCATTGGATGCCGCTTCTGCATCCCGCATATTGACCAAGCCAATACAGAATACGCTAATCTTTCTTTGCGTGTTCAGCATACGGGGCCAAGCTCAATGATCGCCTTATCCCCCTCTACCGCTCGCAGATGCGTCATGCACCTGGGGGGTTGGGCACTTGACAGATGATTGACAAGGGCGGATGAGGAGGGATCACCGGTGGGCGTAGCTGTGGGCGAATGGCACGTGTCAGGCGTGGTTCGTGGAGAAGCTTCTTCTACCAAGGATCTTGATCAACCGGGGTGCCGGCCTTCATGGCCGTTGCAACTTGCCGTAGTCCGTTTACTTAAACTCGGCCGATCGCCGGCGACGTTTGGTCTCTTGTTTCTACTCACGCCTTCAAGCCAAACGCCCTCGGCCTCTCACACTCTCTCAAACCCCTCCCTCCCCCCGAGCCGCCACTCTGCCCGCCTCATCATCCCGGCCATCACAATGCGCGCCGCCACCACCTTCGCGCTGCTTGCGCAGGCCCTCGCTGTCCAGAGCATCCGCATCATCCAATCCAACGATGACGGCTGGGCTGAGCTGTACGCTCGCTCCTTCAACCAGGCCCTGAAGTCCTCCGGCCACAACGTCCTCCTCTCCGCCCCGGCCGAGAACAAGTCCGGCTCCGGTACGCTCCCCTCTCCCTGATTCTCATATGTACCTCCCAATTAACCCCAAACCAGGCTCAAGCGACGCCGAACCCGACCCGCGCACCGCCGCCTGCCAGTACGACAGCTGCCCCGCCAACAGCGGCCCCGTCGGCGTCAACGAGACGCAGACCGACCTGCGCTGGGTCAACTCCTTCCCCGTGACCTCGATGCGCTACGGCATTGACCAGTTCGCCGGCGAGGTCTTCAACGGCGCGGCCCCCGAGCTCGCCGTCTCGGGCCCCAACGTCGGCTCCAACCTGTGGCTGTCCGTGCTCGTCTCCGGCACCGTCGGCACCGCCGTCTTCGCCTCCAACGAGCGCAACATCCCCGCCATCGCCTTCTCCGGCGCCTCCACCGGCACCCTCGCCTGGAACACCTCCCCCGTGCCGGCCCGCAGCGCCGTCTACGGCGAGCTCGCGAAGCGCCTCGTTGACAAGATCGTCAGCGGCGGCGCGCCGTACCTCCCCGAGAAGGTCTGGCTGAATGTCAACTTCCCCGCCGTTACGGATACTTCGTGCAACAATGCGGACGACTTCAAGTGGGTGCTGAGCCGCATCAACCCCGTTACTCTGAACCCGGACGTTGGCACCTGCGGCAGCAGCGATAGGTTGCCGTGGGAGAACACGGTTGTCGGCACTGCGGGATGCTACATCTCCATTAGTGTTGGTGACTCGAACAAGTCTACTGCGCCCAAGGAGAAGCAGCAGCCTGTTCTGGACAGGCTTGGCAGCTTCTTGTCATGCCTGCCGTAGGGTGTGAATGAGAGGGATGACGGGGAATATGAGATATTATGTGAGAGTAATTTATGAGATATGAAATCAAATACATGAGAGTACCTTCACATGGCAAGAAAATGGTTTCTTTTCGCACTTTTCGTTTTGTGACCTCGCAATGCTTTTCCTGACTCCAATGGCCCGAAACCCCTCATCACACCTTGCGTGGCACCTTTTCCTCAATGGTGGGAATCTTGTCCGAATCAGCTTCAACAGCTTGAATAGTTCGAAGCTGCCTCTGCCACTCCCTTGAACGCCACGCAGGGACTCTCTCCTCGAATAGCTTGTCAACCTTTCAAAGTCAGTAATAAGTTGTGAGCCAGGCCTAATTCGACTAGTCTTACCTCCAATCTTGAAAGCCCCGCAAGCTCCGGAACGCAGGTGTAGGCCCACACAAGGGACACCACGGTCATGCCGAACCAGATGTAAGAGACCTTGACCCCGAGGTCTCCAGCAGTCTCGTCAACCATGTACGGCGTGACGAAGCCAACGAGCCATGTGATGATCCAGTATGCCGTTAGAACGATGGACGATTGGTAGTTTCTCGCGCGGTCTGAAAAGGGCTCTGCCATTAGTAGCCAACCTACACATACTGTCAGCCGCTTTATAATAGCGCAGTTAATGATGCGGGTCTACTAACCCCCAATCCCCCAAGTCGGCGCATACGATGCGATGAAAAACACCGCGCCAACAACAAGCATCGTCTTATCCGCCTTGCTGTCCGGAGCAGCGCTGTGAATGATGGCGGTCAGTAGTTGGGCGAGACCCATGAGAACACCGCCCCCGATCAGAGACTTTCGTCTTCCCAGGCGTTCGATGAGATACATGGACGGCGCCGTGAAAACGCCGTTGGTGATGGCGAGAATAAGGGATATCAGGTACGAGTTGTCCACGCCTGCGGCCGCAAAGAAGGTCGTCCCGTAGCCGAACCAGAAGGTGATGCCAGTAGAGATGGTGAAGAATGACATAACCACACCAATGAGGGTCCGTCTTAGGTCTGTCCCTTGGAAACACTCAACGAATCGAGCGCTTCCGTTGACGTGCTGATCTGCGATGTGGGTTTCGATTTCAAGCATAGCCTCGTCAACTTCCGATGAGTTCGTGTCTGCATTGCGAAGGATGGCGAGGGCGCGCCGCACTTCGGTGGTCTTGTTCTTCCTCGCCAGCAGTAGTGGTGACTCGGGACAAAACATGACGCCGACGAACGCGGTCAATGCTAAGACTAGCTGGAACGCGATCGTGATGCCTGTTTACGCATCAGAGGCTGTGTATTGTTTCGGGTTCGGGATGACTCACGCCAGCTTCGAGAGTCGGCGTACTTTGAGGTACCAAGGCTGATCGCGCACGCCAGAACGTTGCCTGTGGTGAGGAACTGCGAGTACCGCGCCATCAGCTGGCCTCTATTTGTCGGAGTCGAGCATTCCATAAGGTAGGCCGGGACCTGGTGCACATCGTTCAGTGGCTCAGTATAAACATGGGAGGGGTGAAGGGGCCAGACCGTAACGGAGATGAGACCGAGAGCGACGCCGAGCAAGACGCGGCCCACGATGAAGACAGCCGGAGCAAGGCCTGCAGTCTGGAGAGCCACGCCAACGGCGTAAGTGCAAGACGCCGCGTATAAGTTGCCTCGACGGCCGACTGGTACACATCAGTAAGCTTCCAGCAACATACGCTGCCGACGAAGCGGACTTGATGAGCACTTACCCGTGCTCGTGAGCAGAGGAACAAGCTGACACCCCACGAGAGCTCCGACGACAAACAATGCAGAGAACGTGCTGCGGGTGTAAGGCGTCAAGTACATACTCCCCGTGTCGCCGTCTCTGATGCCGTAGATCTGGATGAAGTCTTGGGAGCCGAGCACGCCATTGAGGTACCCGGAGTCATAGCCGATGATGGTTGCTGATACCTTTAGCTAAGAAGCGCCAATCTCATCGAAGGGGATTAAAGCTTGCCGGAAGAGAAAATGATCCCGTACACGAGGATCTGTCTAGCGGACAACATTTTGCACAAAAAAGAGACAAGTCTGAGAACCTCTAGAGATCGTGCATTCGTATGATGTTGTTGCACTAAGTGCAGGCAGCATGCTTTAGTAAGTTTCAGCCATTGATGTCTTATCTGAGTTCAAGTCTCTGAATGGCCTGTGGCTTTGAGAGCCGGTTTTGGTCAGAGTATGAATTGGGTAAAGTCAGGTTTGGGGTGTTGTCCAGAGATAGGAATTTGTATTCCGCCTCGAGGCGGCGTACGAGGATTGGCGCTTATCTCTTCGGCTCAGGGATGTGGGCTGTGCAAGATTCAAGACCCCCAGCCCAGCATGTCAAACCCCGGGTTTACTGCAACACCGATTGCATATTATCTGTCAAATTTGGATTCTATTACTTCAACAAATCGCGCGGTCTCGTTGATTGATAAATTTTGCTATTCAGGCGTGTATCCCTAAGTACTTATCCAAGCGGGTAGTAGGCACAAACGATAACAGGGACGACAATGGCGATCACGAGAACAACGACGATAGCAAGGACAACAACAATAGGGATAAGGAGATGGAAAGGGAAAGGGCTACGGATGAAGGAAGGATAATGGCGTTAATTAAGATGTGAAGAAATTTTAGACCTGATGTATGGTAGGCAGTTCTCCGCTTGTTTAGCTAGAAGTATTCGCCCGAATAATAAGATTCTTATTGATAGCTTGCCAAGGACGGGTTACTCATGTAACAAAATAGTTGAACTTGCAGATAGGTTAATACAAAACATGTAAACAGATTTCTCCTATGAGGCAATTAATTACCAATCAAAAGAAATTAGAGTGATTGGCGGCGATGTCGCCGGTAAAGGAATTAGATGACAGCTTCCCGTAGCTACAGGGTTATTGACGGTCCTCGGCGCGGCCTTCCCAGCATGAAGCAAGAAGAATGCCTTAGTGGTACAGAAAACCAAGCATCTCCTATGGAATTTGAGAAAAGTTTCGAGACAAAATCATGAATGACCTGACCAATACACCAAATTACTTATCACATGTCCTCAGAGCCTCAATTGGCAGAAGAGAGCCAAGGGACTCGCCAAAGCGCACGAGTGGGGTGACAGCATGAGATGCATGCCTAGCTCGCGGGACTTCCCGGCCTGCCACGGGGATCTCAAGAGCGAGAGGATTACCACATAGCTCTTCTAGAGCATTGTTCTTTGGTAGGGAGGTGACCACTGAGAACATGAATCGACACAGAACCCATTATGATCTTGCAAGCTCTCGTCTCACACTTGAGGTTCCTGAACTTTAAACACTTGCTTCGCGTTGCATGAGCAATGTCCAGATGCCCGTAAAGGTCTTGGATTATGGATAATAGATCGACTCTTTCTCAGATCCTGAGTAATATGGAATGGGTTGGCTAGAAACTCTGGAATCGTCTGACATCTACTGCCCTCCTGAATTGGTACATCGACGACCTCCGAAGCGATGGGAGCACATGGAGACCAGATCATCCGATCGACTCTCTTTTTGCCTGCCCAGCTTATATGTGACGGTGCCGAGCCTTTGCATGCTGAGCGTGCTGACGAGGTTCTCGGGAGCACTTATCCGCAGCCTCTAACGTCGTTGTTACACTGCGTCGAAAATCACATCCGTTCAGTTTTTGGCTTGCATTTCTACCCCTCATACAACCGCCTGATTTACTTGGCGAGAAAGACCTATAAAAGTGACAGAGAATGCCACCGACCGAACGAACCTTTGTGCTGACACAGACACTGGAGTGATCAGCTGTCGCCTGTTTTGGTTCTTGGCATCCTGTCCGCTCCAATCGAAATTCATCGTGCCTTAGACGCGCGAGTCACATACGAGCATAGACACACCGAGAAGCATGCCTGAAGAATTTGACTTCATTATCTGCGGGTAGGAAACTTTGACTCCATGGGCGCCGCTGCAGAAAACGTAACGCTGACTTGATATCTCAGGGGCGGCACCGCGGGCCCCGTCGTCGCCGCCCGTCTGGCGGAAGACCCGAGCACCAACGTCCTTCTACTTGAGGCAGGCAAGGACAGCAAGGATCTGGATAATATGCACATGCCCGGCGCGTATGTCCCCGGGGCACAACCTTCAGAAGCCGCACACTGACTGCGTCTGCGTCGTTATGTAGCTGGGTTACCCTCCACCAAGGCGATACGGACTGGAATCTGAGGACACCCGCCCAACCAGGTCTGCAAGGTAGAGAGATCCATCTGCCACGAGGAAAGTTCTTGGGCGGTAGCAGTGGCTGCAATGGAACAATTTGCGTGAGGGGCGTCGAGCAAGACTACGACGACTGGAACTTTCCGCAATGGAGCGGTAAAGAGATGTTCAGGGCTATGAGAAAAGTGCGTCCCTTGATTATTCTTTCCTGTCACTTGAATTCCGATTCTTCACGGGATATCGATGACCTAATGTTGATGTACTTTTCAAAACAGGCAGAAACATTCCATCCCAAGGATTGGTTCCCGCACGATAATGAGGCACATGGGCGGGATGGGCCCCTACACATTGAGCCTGGAAAGACGATCCCACTCACAGACAAAGTCATTGAATCCTACAAGTCCTTTGGGCTGCCATACATCCCCGATATGTTCAGTTCGGGCGTGGCGGCCAATGGTTGTGGCCATGCCGTGAGGACCCAGCACAAGGGAACTCGATCGACCGCGGCAGACTTCATCACCAAGGACCAAGAGAAGCCGAATATTGCTATCAGGCTCCATGCAACTGTCGACAAGGTAGTAGTTGAAGATGGCGAGGCAAAGTACGTCGAGTACGTCGGAGACGACGGTCACAGACACATTATCAAAGCAAAGAGGGAAATCATTCTCTCTGCCGGCACCTACGGAAGCCCAGCCATCCTTCTACGCTCTGGCATCGGACCCAAATTGCATCTTGACGAGATGGGTATTCCCGTTGTCAAGGACCTGCCGGGGGTCGGAGAAAATCTGCAGGACCATCAGCTCATCTTTGTCTACTACGAAGTGAACGAGCCCGACCTCACTGACGACGCGAGAGTCAGCCACGACCTCAACGCCTTCGAAAACGGGTATAAGGAGTGGACAGACACCAAAGACGGCTGGCTGGCAAGCTTTCCCTTCGGCGGTTTCGCCTTCGCGCGCCTCAATGACCGTCTCGAGGCGGATAGCGAAGAGTGGCGCAGCTTCCCGCGGCAGCCAGGCCGTGACCCCATGGACCTGACCGAGACCCAGCCGAACCTGGAGTTCTTCCACACCATCTGCTACGGGGGTCCTCCCGAGTACACTGACTTCCCTAAAGCGGGCGAGTGGGCCTTCGCCATGTGCTGCTTCCTTTGCGGCCTCAAAGGCCGCGGCGAAGTTCGGTTGAGGAGCAAAGATCCCCGCGACAATCCCTACGTAAACCCCAGGTATCTCGAAGACAGGCGGGACCTATTGATGATGGCTGAGGGCGTGAAATTCATGAACGAGATCATCATGAACGGAGCCGGTACCAAGGACATCGTCAAGGGCGGCTGGCCGGCCGGCGCCGAGCACCATCTCAACAAGACCAACGAGGACTGGCAGTCGCACGTGCAGCAGTATGCCTCGACGTCGTACCATCCGGGCGGTACCTGCAAGCTGGGTCAGGAAGATGACCCTATGGCCGTGTTGAATGGTCACGCGCAAGTCTACGGTGTCAGGAACCTACGTGTCGCCGACTGTAGTCTTATGCCGACGCTGAATAGCGGCCACACGCAGATGCCGGCGTACGGGATCGGGGAGCTTGTTGCGGAGTTCATTCAGAAGAAACATGGACTCAAAAGCAGGACAAAGCAGAATGTTTGATTGGTCCTGGCATTCACAAAGGGCGAGCAGCGCTGGGCTTCGTGGATGGACTCGTATCTCATGCAAGCAACTACGTGAATGAGGGTTTGACCGTGAAATACTAGATTGGTAAGGTTGCAAGTGGTGGCAATTAGTTGATAACAAGTATCTACCCCGGATGTGAAAGGTTCGCAAAATAGTCCGAAACATCAGGATTGATTCTCAAAACTATGAACAGTGAGGAAGACAACCGATCGTGTCGTTGCTGTGTCACATTCCATAACATAACATGCTTTATACGGCCACTGCTCATACAGTATACTCCAATAACATCCCTGCAGCCCAACACTTTTCGAAGCATACATTCGTGCATTGTCGTTCACCGACGGGCTTGACGGCAATAATCTCGGAGTACAGTCTACATCAGACGTTGAGTAAATGCTCTGCGGTTGTCCAAAGAAGGCTTACAGTAGGTTGTGACTTGTGTTGCTTAGCAACATCCGTTGCGGGAGCAGCGGTCAATGATCTCGCAACTGTATTCTGGATTGTTGTGGCAGTTGTCACAGCCAGTAAATTGGCGATTGAAGAGTTTGTTCTCATTGTTTCCGACCGCGGCTGCCATTGCGCTGGCTGCGGCAACAAGAAGCAGGAAAAATCTCATTTTGTCTGAATTGTAAATGATTTCGAAGTATTTCAATCGAGTTTTAATGACTGATGAATGGAGGGTGACAAGACTTGTCTTGAAACTCGCGAATAAGGCTGCCTATTTATACTTGAAATCATGATCGACAGCCCGGACTTTCGGCTGTTTTAACGAGGAACACTACCTTATTACTATGAGCCAAGACCTTAGTTGATATTCCCAAAGTCTGTGTTATGAGCCGGAGAGAGCAATGAATGTAAAGTTGCCTATTCTATGCTTAACGGGAAGTTTTGTAACTTACATGGTGGAGCACGTGGAGAACACGATACTCAGCATCATCTTATCAGATCATCTTTCTCTTGGCACGGATTGTCTAGGTTTGTGGACGGAAACTTTATCCCGAGTCATTCCCCAGCCAGGGCACTTTGTTCTCAGAGGACGCATATACTTGATGGACGTCTCACCAAGCAATCACCTGCAGATCCCATCGCATTTGCCGCCATATACCCTGCCCGCGGTGTAATAGAAGTCGAGCTGTATAGGGAGAGAAGCCCAGCAATTAATCCAAAATCATATCAATCTCCCGACTACATTTCTTCTTTTGTCCATGTGTACGCCTCAATTCAGCGTAAATCCCCTCATGCAGATTTCCAAAAGTAGCCATCCTAAACCCCTTTACCCATGATTGTCCGAATATCCTGCAACGTGCTTGGCTCACAAGATTTCATCTATGCCGTCAAACGTTTCTGGACAAGCGGACATTTTAGTCGGTTGACCGAAATCTCCTTATTCTCCTAACTGTCTCTGTGCCCTTTGATATTGTCGCCCATGCACAATCCTTGCGTGTCTGCAGTCCCCACCGCTCTGATAGAAGAATGCAGTAGCGTACGCAAAATCTTCACAACTCTGACTTGAGCAAATCAAAGTGGCAGACTTCGGTGTACCACCTGATTACTGACATCTCGTCGTCGCTTTGGTTGGCGCACTTCATCGTGCCGCATGCCCATACATCGCTCAGAAAAAATGCTGGAAACCATGCTTCCTGGTCAGCGCAGAACTCAGCAATGCTGACTGTAATGATGTCAAAAAGTTTCTTTGATTTGTTGAGTTCCTGAGCGCAGTCCCGCCAGCACTGCGGCAGCGTCTCAAGGGGGAGGTGTTTGCCTTGAAGAGGCTTCGGCCTCGCCAGAGCACCGGCGGCCAGGATAACAGCGATGATGCTTTGCAAACCAAACATCATGTTGAGTACAGTTTTATCTGGCCGGCTTGTCTTGTTGAGTGTCACAGGAGTGTTTGCAGTTGAGTATTGGTATGTTGTCAATGTGATATTGGGATGGGAGCGTTGCTGTGAAAATATGAAGCGTGGATTCTGACGCTGAGGTTGACTTTTCCTTTTGGATTTGTACAAAATCATCTTTTGCCTTTTCTCCGCATTCTCTCATCAAGGTAGGTGGTCCAGGCAGCAAGGTGAGTCGAGTCTGGCTTGCGGTTGAACTTCAGAATTTCAGGCTCAGCTCTGAGATGACTTCGAACCTTGTTACATAGTAGCGAAAAGAAACGTGGCTTGGGTTGGCATTCGAACATCATCGCCAGGTCTTGACACCGGATGTAATCCAAATTTGCAGAAGTCAACACACCTATCTTCAAATTAGCTATGTGTGCCCTCGAAATGTGGTTGGTCTATCCATGTCTTCCCCTAAAGAATACTTCAATGCAAGATTTCAATACCAAGCTGATGAAAACACGCTCCTCTATTATCGCACTTTGCAAGTCGCATTATACCGGGAGACCTCACCGAAAGTAACCTCGATTTCGTCCGATAAGGGACTGCAATGGCCAGTCAAGCTTACGTAGCAGATTGACTCAGGAGTCGATGGTCGCCACAATGTTGGCTTACTGGAATATGTATTCCGCCTCGGGTTCACTTTAAATCCGCTGATACTAACTGATATCGCGAGATCCACTAGCAGCCATGTCATCGATAGAGGCCGGTATGTACAGCGTTTAGCAGGACGAAAAGTGACGGTTTATTCTCATTTCAATGGTCGAACGGAAGTTGAATTCCGTAGATAAGAATAGACCGATAATGACATTGCTTTTGTTTACGAAGTTGAGTGACCTAAACCGATCGTAGCAGGCGCGACGAGTGGATGATGGCAATCGACTCCATTGGATGCTCCAGTGGAAAATATATTCCGTCTGAAGTCCCTAGCGTGAGCTTACCTTTCTATACTATTCTACTCAGCCCACCTCGAATGACTCTCGATTTCAAGTCGTCTTAAAATTTCCTATTGACTCTATCACCAAATTACAACCCTCCGATTTCTCTAGATTAGTTCTGCAATCATGTCGCACTTGAAGTTCTTCGCCTATGAGGGGCAGGGTGTCGAGAAACAGCAAAAGTTCTCGTATAGCCAAGCAGTGCGAGTTGGTGACCGCATCGAATGCGCAGGACAAGGTCGGTCTTCCGTGAAAACCTTACGCTTTGTCGACTTCTCTGACTGGACATTGGATTGCAGGTGGCTGGGATCCGATCACCGGAGAGTTTGAAAAGGAGATCAACGCACAGATCGACCTTGCTTTCGAAAACGTGGAACGCTGCCTCAAGGATGCCGGTGGGAAAGGATGGTCCCAAGTCTACCGAGTCAATTCGTACCACGTTCCTATCAATAATGAAGCTCTGGCTGCCATGGTGCGAAACTTCCGAAAATGGATGCCAGACCATCAACCTCTTTGGACTTGTGTTGGCGTTACGCGGCTTGGCGAGGACGACATGCGAGTGGAGATAGAAGTCGTGGCACACGTTGGATAAGCTCGATGGCGAAGAGGGATTCAGAAGCCTCTGTATTCTCGATGCTTTACGATGTCAATCGGAGGGCTTTTATCATCACCTAACGGTACTGGAGGAGTTTAGATTTCAACATCGGTTTCAGCAGTGCGGGGGCATTCGGGTTACCACCTCGCCTCCTAGAAGGGGCCAACCGGAACTGAAGCTTCATTTGTCCACGGCGCATTGCTAGGTGCAAGTAGAGTAGGACTTTTGGCGTCTCTCGAGTTCCAAATCATAATCAACCAAGACTCGCATAAACTGGTTTTCGGTGGCAAGCCATTGCACACGATACTTGCTGTTCGTGTTCATACTTGGATTTAATGATTCGTTACATTGCGATTTCGGCTTTCATTTTCCGTACTTGACGCCACACATGCCTCGCACCGCTTTCCCCGCTATGTTGCCTAATATCGTTTCCAGACAAGAAGAGCTTGAAACATCTCGTCACTAGTTCAAGCCAACGACTTTGCAATGTACTTGGCCAGAAGAGAATGGACGGGTGAAGTAGGATGGAGATTGTTAATCCACATATACTCATCCGCAGCGTAAGTGCAGTTATCCCACTTGGTGTCCGGCTCTGGGGTACCACTGATGATTTGGGAAAATGAGTGTGAGCGATAGAGCTGAAGACTTTGGGAGATCGACTTACTTCTGGTAAGCGGAGCAGTATGTGGTGGTGTTCTTGTACACAGCTGTCTCCTTGTACCGCTCAGGGGTATCAATGACCCTGTCAAAGAGCCCGTAGGTATCGTACTGGAAAACAGTCACGTCGTCGTGGGCTTGTCTCCAATCTCGCGCAAGAACACGAAGGCGTCCGTTCCAATCCTCGACAGCTGCTTTCTCCAGTGGGATACGCGTGGAAGCAGCGCTTGACTGCGTGGTTCTTGGCATCCGTTCCAACGGCGGGACGTTGAGAAACAGGTAGTTCCTTGCTCCAGCGTCATACATCTTCTCCAGCAACGCCTCGTACCGTTCGAAGATTATAGGATGACGCACAGTAGCGTTACCATCGGTGTAAGACTTGCCAATGTCGTTGATTCCGATCCAAAATCCGAAGAGCGTGGTGACAGGGTCCCAGGTCTGATTGCTACCGCTGTAGTAGGGAAGGAACTGGTCGTCGATCTGATTGACAACATCTACGCCGGAGTCGACAATATCGGCATCAAGGGTTGCTCCACTGTATGCGAAGTTGTAGGTCAGGAGAAGCGATTCATTGTATTTGGTTGTCAGGTACTGAATCCAGTTCTCGCCATTGGCGCTGGTCGGGCCAGGGTAGGTTGGATTGCCGAAAGGGTTCGCCGAGGACGGTTGAGCGTTGGTGAGAATGAACCGAGTTCTGGTGTAAGAATCGCCACTTAGGATAGATTGTCAGTTATTGTGTTCTTCCACCAGCTTGGTGTGAGTTCTTACAAAGTAAACAATGTCTTCAGCGAGGAGAAACCGCCATAGGCCGCAGAGACACCGTGAGCAGCCACGGAGAGGAGCAAGAGGTTGGCCTTGATTGATCGAGAGATTGAAACCATGATGGATGCAGAAGGATGTTCACGAAGATGACAGAAACTTTTCGGGGTGGCTGTCTGGCTGCTGCATGGACAAAATTGAAGGCCTCTTAGAGCCTCTGAATGTAGCTGTCCTTATGTACTTATAGAGATCCCCCAGCGGACGCGAATGACAGCGCCGTTGAATGATGATTATTTTCGTGCTCTTCCCTCTCGGGGGAACAGATGTGACCGCGCTAGGTCTCAGTGATTAAACAAAAATGATAATTTTCTCGATGACGAGCTAAACTAATTCGTCATATTATCAGACAAGCGCTTGGTGCATTGTCTTCTTCCTGCACGAAGGACCCCACTCTACGGTACTAACGGTGACGGTCAAGTGACTTGCTACGGACGGATTCAGGCAAGATAACTTAAAGAGGCAATGCATGATATCTACGCGAACCTGATTCCACCAATAGTTCTTAGTTGTGAGATTGAAGATCCACCTCGGCTCCGGAAATCGGTTCATCTCGGCCGGGCCTACAGTAATTGTGCCCCGATGACTTCTGGATGTAACGCTGCTTTTCACAGATACCATTTCGTTCATCTCAGCTGGGATCATATTGCTTCAGCGTGATATAGAGCGTAACTCACTGCTACCCCTCAGTGAACATCAAGGCGCTCTTACCACGCGCTTGTCGCAATTCAGCTATCCAAGGAGTGCTTGCAGATTCAGGGGCGCGTCGCCGTTATCTTGATGTTTGACATTGGACAAGGGGAACTCCCGTACCATATCGGTCTTGTATGGTGCTGAGGCTACCTATAAGAACCACGAGGGTGACATCATACATAACCGTTCAGAAGGATTTGTTTTCATCTGGTTTCGACCCGTGTCTCAACGCTCCATGGTGGAAGCCAACTTCTATGAATGGTATGTTCTTGGGCTCGTATTTCTATGGGTCATCGGTATACAGCATGGCCCAGGATACAAAAAGCCTCAGTCTATAGGTCCGCATCTAGATGTATCGACGTCGTTCAGCAAAGGTTGGAACAAACTTGTGTCGATGAAAGTTACAATGGCCCAATCTTGGGTACCTTTATCGTTGCGGCCGACACCTCATAAAATTTTTCTCAGGCAGAAACGGCTTGCACATTAAGCATCAGTAGGCGTTTGGTGTGGAAAAACCTCTCTTCCCGTGGTTGCCTCTGAGATACAGCTTGTTATGACATCTATCAATCACACCAACCACACCAAGCGGCGTTGACTGGGAATTTGTAGCGCGTCGGGCAACAATCTTACTATTGCTATATGCTTCTTTGCGGGGATCTTGTCAGTCGCGCAAGTGATGGAATTCAGAAACAGGTATGCGTTGTGGCTAACAATACCTGCGACTGTGCAACGTAGTCCTTCATCGAGGGCTTGGTAGTAATGCGCAGTTCTTTCGGATTACGACTCTGTCTCAATGCAGTACATGCAGTACTGCCTGGCAATCATATTAGTGAGCTTAAGTGTTAGCCTCGCGTTGTTTTCTTTTGCGAGAATCCGCCCCTCGGCAGCAACAAGGAGTTCGGCCGATGCGAGATAAGACAGCCTGAAAGACCATATTCACATCACTATTACCAACAAGACCTTATTAGCCAAAAGATGCGAATTCCTGGGTGAATGTGCACGTAAAATACAGTGGCCAGGAGGGCAAAGCTTTCCGATAAGTATTCGCTCTCGCCGGATCCATTGGTTGCTTTGTCTGGTACAAAACACCCCACCAAATCCTGGGAACTGGTTTGATTGATTCAGACCGCCTTCCCCACTGCACTCTATCTCTCTGTAGTATTTACTTTTGGTCGATAAGCCCGTTGAAATCCCGTTCCAGTTTCGAGCCTAACATCCTTCTTACACTATTCAGTTGAAAACCACTCCCCTTCATCTTGAAGACCGTCATTTGTGGATTCCGCAAGGTCCTGAACAGTCCAGAGCTTGAATTGATACCCAGGAACGCTGTTGCTGTTCTGGAATTGCTCCCCAGTGCGAAGTTTCTGAGCACAGGTGGCAAAGTTCTTTCGCGCGTAGTCCTCGGGATCGTGTTCAAGCAGCCATGGAGCCCACATGCGTGTGAAGATTGCAGGGTCTTCAATCGGAGAGTTCCAGTCCGTCTTATGCCACAATTCTCTAGCTTTGAAGCCCATCTTCTGAGCGCAGGCGGTTCGTTCAAACCTGGGACAGAGTCTCAGCCAACGTTCGCTTTCATTTGATTCCATGTGGGTCCACTTACCGAAGACAATTGTGAACTCTTAATGCTAGAGCAATATCTTGTTTCTCCACGTGAGACAGGCATTCGACGAGCGAATGCGCATCTTCCATAGCCATCGAAGCTCCGTAGCCGGATGTCGGGAGAAATGCGTGGGCCGCATCGCCAATCTGTACCAATCGACCCAGAGGCGACACCCATTCGGGCTGAGGATCTCTCCAGCGTAGCTTCCAATCATAAACCACCCCATAGGGCACTGCCTTGATCAATTCTGTCACTACGGGACTCCATCCTTTCACGTACGGGAGAACAGTAGAAATCGGCACTGTGTCTGGCAAATTGCCCGGGTCCTGATCTCCGAGTTAGTTGCCGCACATCACCTAAAGGTGTAACGTCAACAGCTCACTAACCTTATGGGTCATCAAGAAGCCCAGTCGATGGCGTGATTTAGACATCACAATGTGAGTATCTGGTCCCATGAATGCACAGCTTCTGGTGGGCGACTTCTGAAACTCATCCGCTAACACAGGGCTGTTCTCCAAGGCTGGTAATGCTGGAAAATTAGAACGAAATACGCTGTACCCGCTGCTAACGGCTTGGTCTTTGATGTTCCGTACCAAGTCCCAAGACTTGGATCCAACACCATCGGCTGCCACAATCAAGTCCGCCTCAATTCGCACATCATTTGATAGTACGACAGCGCCTCGATTAGGAGACTCAAGGTACTTTACGACTTCCATCGAGAATTTGATCATGACGCCACATTTGAGAGCATACTGATGCAGTAAAGCATGAAAGTCCAAGCGATGAACGGCGAAACCTAACCCGTCGGACGAAACAGTCCTTGGGGAAGCCAGGAAGGTTCCATCATACCTGTGGAGGTTGAGTGTGCTTCCCAAAGACAACGACTGAAGTTCATCCCAGAACCCTGGCCAGCCATTCTTTATGCTGCGCAAAGAAGAGGCCTGCAATGCTAAGACGTCACCTACAAGCGTATCAGTCTACACCCTTTTCCTGTACAAATGCATTTTCTTTGTGCTGGTCATAGCTGTCGAGTTAACTCACCGAAATCATCCAAGCCGGGTCGTTTCTCAAGAATTTGGACCTGATGCCCACGAAGTTTCGCATCAATGGCGAAGACAAGCCCTGCGATTCCATGCCCAACGACAACAATGTCCAACTTAATGGCCTTGTCAGCGAAGGGAATTGGGTTGATAGGAGTGTCGCTCATGGTGAAGGTTTGGAAGCTGAATGGCTTTGAGGGCATGTAGAAGCTTATGAAGAGTTCCTAGATGTTCGAGAACCGCTTCAGAGTGTGAAGGTTTGTGTCGCTTTTAAGAACAAGACATGTTAGGTTGATCGGGCTATGCGAATGGTCCATCCGGCGTCGGGTTCTCTCAACAATGCGGCAATCCAGATCTTGCCCTGGTATTGGTTTATATGCTGCAGTAACAGGTGAAACTAAACCAAATCTGTCAGGCTGAAGTGTTACGGCTCAGCCAGTCGAGGTGCTGGCTATTGTAACAACATCACGTCCGCTACATACTCTTCCCAATCCATAACCAGCTGTCTAAAAAGTGGATTCGCCCCTGGTTCAGATGGGGCCTCTCAAGACGTATCAGTAGCTCTAATATCCATGCTCAATGAGTAAGCGGTATGTACGGATCCAAGTCAAGTCCGCTAGGTCGTAATTTTAGCTAATGTCGCACACCGCATCCAAGTGTTACAACTCGTGCGCAAGGATAGCAGTTGAACGTCCTACTTAAGTATTAAGCGGTTGCAATAAGACATATATACTATAGATATGACTAAGATTGAAACAAATCGAGAAAACACAAATCGAAAGCAATGGCGACGATGATCCTAACGTTGCAATCGAGGCCATAGATAGTAGGGCAAACACCCGTGCCCACATGCTTTCTCGTATTAATGTGATTGCTCCGGCATACTGACCATGAAGGTTCTTGATGCTTCTTACGAAGGCCATTCTCCAAGTCTTACCTTGCATGCGGACAGGCTCGGATCAGCCCCGCACATTGTGTCGCCCATATGCCGTAGACGCAGGATCAGGATGCAGGGATCGACACTTGAACCACTAAATTGGGGAGGCAATTGGAACATTAAACTCTTGGTTGGCCCTTGGGAGCACAACCACGACACCGACAGCAGCCAACCACGGGATCCCCTCAGTTGCTTCAAATCCGACGTCATACCTAGTGCTGGGTCGTCGTTTTGTTGCTGGATTCCAACATCCTCGTCTTTGCGTTGTGGAGTATCGAGCTCACTTGACGTAGACCCGTTGCCCACCTAGCCTGCAGATTGACCAACCGTACGCTGAAATAAATTAGCCACGATGGAGAAAAAGGAGAGAATAGGAGAACATCCGGAGGTATCAGCAACGACCCCGGGGCATGATGACATTGAGCCGGCGAGAACCACGATAGGTGGGGGCGACACGACCGAGGTGAAGCATCAGCAAGAAACACAGCATTTGGGAACCCTCGATAGAAAGCTCAAAGCTCGTCATGTACAGTTCCTGGCCTTGTCAGGCGCCATCGGTACCGGTTTGTTCGTCGGCAGCGGTCAAGTCTTGTCACTGGCTGGCCCGCTATCGGCGTTCATCTCGTACGCAGTCACGGGCTTCAACCTCTACTGCGTAATCAATAGTCTTGGGGAGATGGCCGCATGGCTCCCAATCCCAGGCGCTGTACCTATATTCGCGGCGCGATATGTTGACCCGGCGCTCGGGTTTACGCTTGGATGGAACTACTGGTGAGTGAGAGAACCAACTACCCGGACGTGGCCAACAAGGACAACCCGGCGGCTTGCCCAAATTATCGCTCCCGATGCTATCTAGATACTTACGTCTTGACGTGAAGACCCAAGCTAAGATCCATATAGGTACCAGTTTGCAATCGGCGTGCCAATCGAAGTCACCGTCTCCGTCGTCATCCTCGACTACTGGGACCACTCCGTCCCCCAAGCCGCGCTCATCACCATCTTCCTACTCGCGATGGTCCTCATCAACTGCTTCCCCGTGCGCATCTACGGCGAAGCAGAATTCTTCTTCGGCGCCATCAAACTCATCACAATCGTCGGCCTCATCCTCCTCATGTTCATAATCACCCTCGGCGGTTCCCCCTCCGGCGACCGCATCGGCTTCCGGTACTGGGCCGACCCGGGGCCGATGAACGCCTACCTCCGCCCCGGCGCCCTCGGCCGCTTCCTCGCCTTCTGGAAGGTCTTCATCCAGGCAACCTTCTCCTACGGCGGCAGCGAGATGGTCGTTGTCGCCTCGGGCGAGACCGAGAACCCGCGCCGCAACATCCCGAAAGCCATCCGTCGCGTCTTCTGGCGCATCGCACTCTTCTACGTCCTCGCAATTTTCCTCGTCGGCCTCTGCGTCTCCTCCGAGGACCCCAACCTCCTCGACGCAATCGGCTCCAGCGCACCCGGCGCCGCGCAGTCCCCCTTCGTCATCGCCATCCGCAACGCCGGCATCCGCACCCTACCTTCCATCATCAACGCCGTCGTGCTCAGCTCCGCGTGGTCGGCCGGCAACTCCTTCTTCTACGCCTCGACGCGCGTGCTCTACGCCGCCGCGCTCGACGGCACAGCGCCGGCCGTCCTCAAATTCGAGCGCTTCGGCGTGCCGTACGCGTGCGTGGCCGCCACGACGGCGCTGAGCTGCCTCGTCTACCTCAACGTGAGCAACCGCGCCGCAGAGGTGTTCTTCTGGATCAGCAACCTCAGCGCCGTGAGCACGCTCATCGTGTGGGCGAGCGTGTGCGTGACGTACCTGCGCTTCTATCACGGGCTGCGATACCACGGCGTCGACCGCGACACGCTGCCGTACAAGGCGCCGCTGCAGCCGTTCCTGGCGTACTTTGCGGTGTGCTTCTGTCTCGTGGTCGCGCTGTTCAACGGCTTCGACGCGTTCTTCCCGGGGCGGTTTAGCGCCAAGACGTTTGTGCCGCCGTACATTGACATCCCCATCTTTCTGAGCCTGTTCCTTGGGTACAAGTTTGTCAAGGGGACTAGGTTTGTGAAGGTGGCCGAGATGGATATCTGGTCTGGCAAGGCGGAGATTGATAGGCTGGAGCCGACGTGGCCGGTGGTCACGCCGAGGAATTGGGTGGAGAGGATTTGGTTCTGGATTGCTTGACGGGGGCACTGGGCTTGGCGGGTTCCCGAGGGGATGGGTTGGCGTGTGGGCTAGAGACCCAAAGGGCTGGATCTTGAGCACGCGAACTTTTGTGTTTGGGATTAGGGGTTTGATGGTCTGGCGGAGTGAGCGGGGTGATCTTGGCTGATCAGGTTGAATGGCCGGAGAGAGGCTGGGTCAGACTGGACTAGACCGTCGCCAAAACGGATGAAAGAGGAGTTTTCATGAAGTTGTCAGAACTAGATGTTACTCCCGTGACCGGATGTTGAGAGGCTACTCAGATGAGTCGGACCACCCTTTCACATGAAGGGACTTGATAAGATGTAGCTTTTCCCCGAGTCTTTGATCATTGGGCAGGATCCGCGCCGGCGGCCGGGTAGCTCGGACGCCGCGTGGGTCCCCCATCTCATTGCCATTCGAAGACGCAGGATTTTCTCCCGTGGCGACAAGTCTACCAATTGCTTGTCTGGGGCGCTAGAGGCTGGTATTTTTCGCGGCAAGTTATGGGGACCCTTATTCTCGGATCCAGCGCGCAGGATATAGAATGCGCCCCGGCATTTTGCTCCGAAATGGCGGGAGTTGTTGCAGACTAGTTGATGACTGAAGACAGGTGGTAATCAGGCGGGCAGCTAGCTCGGTCGCGGTGCGATCTGTGGCGTCTTTTCGGTGTCTGACTGCCGGTGGGATGTGGAAAGGATGTCTTTGAATTCTGCTTTGTCTGGTCGATACTTATTTATGTACGTACCTGGAAATGTAGATGATCTTGGGGCCGAGACATTCTGCAGGGAGTGGTGCGTGGTGATGTGCAGTGATCTCTACTGGAAAGACCTCGGTACTGTTGATAGCAGCCGCTTCTAGAATCGTCATCCCAAGAGCCTAAAAAGCTTCTTCAATCAATAGATTGATCAATATGGGGAGTTTGAGAGTCTAGACACGGAGGTGAGCCCATTTCTCTAGCGGAGAAGCTCACGGGTCCTCGTGCTGTAGCCCGTCGCCGGCGCTGACAAGCTGTCGGGTTCGCAAACCATTTGTCAAAAGCAGGCCAAAAACCGACCGGGTTGACCGATGTTGGAGCAGACTCAGGTCACTCGGCGCCCCGACTGGGTTGGTCGTTCCTGGGCCAGTCGGGAGCATGCGGAGATTGGGCCTGTCACCCATGTGGTAACATGGAGGTGGGCCCTGAGTGTTTTTTTCCCTCTCTCTTTCACTGTCATTGGGGGCGAGAATCAGTGGTTCTTTACGAGATTCGCTGCCTGGAGATGGGTTTGTCCAGGGGTATGCTGGATGTTTGTTCTGTATGTCGCACGTCGCTGCTGAAGAAGAGACACATGAAAGAGGGCACCGAGTCGCCAACCTGATCGAGTCAAGCAGAGGGCCCTGCTGACGTTTTTGTTGCGTCGTTGGCAATTGGTACTTCGTAGCGGGAACTGTTCATCGCCTGTAAGCAGCCGGACAGCCATCTCCTGACGGCCACGGCCGAGTCGCCCAATGATGTTCATCAGAGGATGGAAGATGGTGGGTGGTTGGATGCGCCACGATGAGGTTAGGGGGAGGTAGCCGGTTGCGGTATCGGTCGCAGCGGTTCGAGGAATGAAGGGCGTGCGCTAAATCATATCAGATGGATCTGATAAAAAAAATTTGATGGCTCTCTTCTTCGTTTTACGTTTAGCAGTGCTTGGTGTTCCCATCTTGATCCCGACGGACGGTTCATCCATGTATCTCTTCTCCCACTCTCCCGCTAGTTTCTTGTCCATCATGTCAGTCGACCAACCAGACACTGCGACTCTCAGAGGCCAACCAAAAGGACCAAGAAAGCCGCTAGCCACTGCTGGTTTTTGCTCCTAGCGCATCACCGAATGTACGAAGAAAGTGTGGGCAAGGCAAGAAAAAAAAAAGTGTACCTCCCGAGGCTAGGCATCGTAGCGCGGCGAGGAATCGACCCAGCTCCCCGGCCACTCATGTTTCTCTCCCGTGTCTCCCAGCCCAGCTCCCTCTTGACACCCCCGACCGAGATGGGCCCGATTTCTTTCTGCAGGGTGGTGCGGCGGCGGCGAAAGAAAGGCAGA